ATGATAGTGGAAACAATTTCCATTTCACAAAACAATAATTGTTTATTAATTGTTTAATTGTTATAAATCATTATTTTTAATATTTCACACATACCCCATTATGAATTATTGTGCCCCTGTGCCTGAATGGCAGCCATCCAAAGTAGGATAACTATATAAATATTATCTATCTGGGGCGACTATTGTATAGAACAAATAAGCACACCCATATTTAAATTAAATATTAGTGTTTTTTTAATTCAAACTTAATAAAATTAAATAGAATTGACTAATTTAAATTTAAATGAATTTAAATGTCTAAAACAAATATAATACAAACTTGGGAAATATATTTAATTAAACACAAACATATTAAATTGAAATATGGAAAATATTTATTTAAATTATAGCAATTATATTTATTAAAATATAAAATATATCTAATTTAAATAAGAAAATATTTAGTTTAAATTTGAAATGCAATTTAGATCAAATATTTGCATAATGGTAAAATGATAGTGGAAACAATTTTTCCATTTCACAAAACAATAATTGTTTATTAATTGTTTAATTGTTATTATTCATTATTTTTAATATTTCACACATATTTTTCCCCATTATGAATTTATTTGTGCTCCTTTGAGTGCCTTGAATGGCAGCCATCCAAAGTAGGATAACTATATAAATATTATCTGATCTGGGGCGACTATTGTATAGAACAAATAAGCACACCCATACTTAAATTAAATATTAGTGTTTTTAATTTAATTCAAACTTAGTGAAATTAAATGGAATTGACTTTAATTTAAATGAATTTAACAGTTTTTAAATACGAAAATATTAAATTGAAATATGAGACACATTTATTTAAACTATAGCAATTATAATTATTTAAAATATAACTAGTTTAAATGAGAAAATATTTAGTTTACATTTGATATGCAATTTAGATCAAATATTTTCATAATAGTAAAATGATTGTGGAATTAATTTTTAATATATTTAATGAAAATAACATGAAAATATTAAATTGAAATATGAAACACATTTATTTAAATTATAGCAATTATATTTATTTAAAATATATCTAATTTAAATAAGAAAATATTTAGTGTAAATTTTAAAAGCAATTTAGATCAAATATTTGCGTAATGGTAAAATGATAGTGGAATTAATTTTGAATATATTTAATGTAAACACGCAAATATTAAATTGAAATATGTAAAATATTTATTTAAATTATAGCAATTCTACTTATTTAAAATATAAAATATAACTAGTTTAAATAAGAAAATATAGAAAATGATAGTGCAAGCAAATTTTCCATTTTACAAAACAATAATTGTGCAAGCGTCCGATTATATTTCAAATTATTAAGCATTATTTGAAGTGTTACTTAACGCCAAAATGAAAAAGCCCATAATAAGTGTGCCCAAGAGTAGTGTGGGAAAATGTCCGATAACATTTTACATACCGTACCCGTACGCACAGCAGGCCGGCCACGTGGCAAGGTCCAGTCACAAACACAACAGGCAAAGTCTCTCAACTCTTTAAGTCAGACGCACAGGAAAAAACTACGTAGAAACCTTCAGACTGCGGAACCAAAGACAACAACAACGACAATAAAAAAAAAAGAAAGGAAAATAATGAATACATCGATGCAAGATGTATTTGTGCCAGAGGTGTGCTACGACCTGAGCCGCTGCTGGATAACAGTGGAGAAGGCGCCCTACTCGAAGGATGCCTACCGCCTGATGTCCTACAATCTGCTGGCCCCCGATATGGTAATGAAGAACAACTCCGACTATGCGCACATCGACGACACGCTGCTGAATTGGGGCAATCGCCTGAACAAGATCACACAGGAGGTGCACGCCCTCAATCCGGACCTGCTCTGCCTGCAGGAGGTGCAGTGCAATCATCTGCCACAGATCATACGCCGCTTCAAGGCGACTACCATGCGCGCCTACAACTACATATTCCAGCAGAAGCTGGAGAGCGGCTCCGATGGCATCGCCATCATCTACGATATGCAAAAGTTCGAGCTGGTCCACCACCGGGCCCTCGGCCGCACAGTTCGGGAGCCAAACAAGCGGGAGGACTGCGATCGCTTTGCGCTGATGGGAAAGTTCAATCTGCGGTCCACGCTATCCGCTCCACAGGAGCAGCGGGCCGACAGTAATCAGCTGGTCAAGCAGCTGGTCGTGTGCAGTGTCCATCTGCTGCCGGGCAGCCCTCTGGGCCCGGACGGGCGCCCAGATCTGGTCAAATGTCTGCGCAACGATATACTCAAATATGGCTACAATACCACGACCGGCGAGTGCATACCCATAATCATGGGAGGGGACTTTAACTTTGCACACGACACCGAACCGTTCCGCACGCTGACAACACGCAGCGGCGTTGCGGCCTGTTCCCAGGAGCTGGCGCCCGTCTACGTCACCTACGAACAGCGGCAGGGCTGGACCGGTGCCGATCACATCTTCTACTCGAAGGGCTGTCCGCGGCACGGCATACGCCTCTGCAGCTACTATCTGCTGCCACTCGTGCCCCTGGCGCGTCTGCCCAACCGTTACCTTGGCTCCGACCACTACTCCCTGGCCATCAAGTTCACCGTGTTCTAGCTGGAAGGGACAACTACGAGTACCACCTAGTTACAACTAATTCCTAGCCATTGTACTGGCTCAAATTAAATATATTTAAATATATAATAAGAAAATGTATCTACCAATTATTAATACTCCAAACGATTCTCTCTGGGTTTTTGTTTATTTATTTATTTATTTATTTATATATACGTATCTGTTGCTCTTGCAGTGTTGGGGCCCAGTGTCCCACCAATTACAATCCGGCCGACTTCTATGTGCAGGTGCTGGCCGTTGTGCCGGGACGCGAGGCCGAGTCCAGGGATCGAATTGCCAAGATATGCGACAACTTTGCCGTGAGCAAGGTGGCCAGGGATATGGAGCAGCTGCTGGCCACCAAGAATCTGGAGCAGCCGCTGGACCAGCCCGAGAATGGTTATACGTACAAGGCCACATGGTTCATGCAGTTCCGGGCCGTGCTCTGGCGTTCCTGGCTGTCCGTGCTGAAGGAACCGTTGCTGGTCAAAGTGCGACTCATACAGACAACGGTAAGAACAGAAGGAGGAGCAGATAAGAATGATGATAATGAGGGATGTCGTAGCGCTACTTGTATACCTTAAGGCATTACCCAATATACTCACTCGTACATAAGGCAGCTTATCGATGGTTTTTAATGGGCTAAAACATGTTCATAATCCGCAAGGCTATCATATATGTACATATATATTCCAACACCCCCCCCTCCCACAGATGGTGGCCATACTGATTGGCCTGATCTTTCTGGGCCAGCAGCTTACCCAGGTGGGTGTGATGAACATCAATGGGGCCATCTTCCTGTTCCTCACCAACATGACCTTCCAGAATGTCTTTGCCACCATCAATGTGAGTACAGAATGTGAGCCCCAACGCTTCCTGGTTATATTTTGTTGTTTTGCCCCCTTTAGGTTTTCACATCGGAGCTGCCGGTGTTCATGAGAGAGGCCCGAAGTCGCCTTTACAGATGTGACACGTACTTTCTGGGCAAGACCATAGCGGAGCTGCCGCTGTTCCTCACCGTGCCGCTGGTGTTCACGGCGATTGCCTATCCGATGATTGGACTCAGGCCGGGCGTGCTGCACTTCTTCAACTGCCTGGCGCTGGTCACCCTGGTGGCCAATGTGTCGACATCGTTCGGCTATCTGATATCCTGTGCCAGCTCCTCCACCTCGATGGCCCTGTCGGTGGGTCCGCCCGTCATAATACCGTTCCTGCTGTTCGGCGGCTTCTTTTTGAATTCGGGCTCGGTGCCCGTCTATCTGAAGTGGCTGTCGTATCTGTCCTGGTTCCGGTACGCCAACGAGGGGCTGCTCATCAACCAGTGGGCGGATGTGGAGGCGGGTGAAATCAGTTGCACCTCCTCGAACACAACGTGCCCCAGCTCCGGCAAGGTCATCCTGGAGACCCTAAACTTCTCGGCCGAGGATTTGCCCCTGGATTACGTGGGACTGGGCATACTCATTGTTAGCTTTAGGGTGTTGGCCTATCTGGCACTGAGACTCCGGGCCAGACGCAAGGAGTAGTTGTGGTGGAGTAGAGCCTGCCGAACATCAAATCATAGTTAATGCGGTTTGTTTTTTTTTTTGTTTGTTTGTATGTATGAGTACTCGTACGTGTGTGTAATTAATATTACTATAATTATTATTGTGTCCATTGTTTGGCCTCCCCCCAACCACCACCCCACAAAATAACTACATTTACTGTTACTTAGCTTGAAATACTTGAGAATAAAACTTGCTTTTTTTTACTTCGAAACCAATATCACTTGTAAAAGCTCCAAGCCAGCTCGCTCTGCAACATTCAAACAGCGCGCTCAACTCAAACACACCACAATGCCTACCAAACTCAACACTATTGGCTTGAAAACGTGGACGAAGCACCGACGAAGCTCACCACCGCTCTCACGCTCTGTCTCTCACGTCTTCGTACTCAATCAGCCCATTGGAGAAGCTCGCTTTGGTTTCGTTCGCGCGAGCCGTTTAGTAGTTCCCTTTATTCATCCCCCTACTTGTACCCAGGCAGTGCGAAAAATTGTTTCGGAATGGGAAATGTTATGCATTATATAATAGGTAACTCTATAAATTATTTAATACCACTCTTAAAACATAAATGATCAAGGTTTAGATAAACTTTTGTTGTATGTTAAGGGAACTAGTTCACAGCGGAGCAGCACACATGCGGCGTGCGTTTACGCTCTCTGCCCGTCGTGGCTCTCATTCACTCTCTCTGTCTGCCTCCCGCGCTGACTGTTTGTGTGTTTGTGACCTTATGTGCGCCGTTCGTTCGTCGCTTTTACTCTCTCTGGGATTCCGTTTTACATTGTTGGCCGCCGCTGAGCGGTTTTTTTTTGGTGTATTTTTTGTTTGCAAAAGTATTTAAAACAAAAGTGCAACGGAAATAGTTAATAACAAAATATTAGTCGTCCGTCGGTGTAGTCGGTGTGCGGTCGGTCGTTTGTTCGTCAGTCCACCACCCTTCTCCTTCTCATCCTCCACCACTTCCACGCTCGTCACTAGTTTTGCTCAACAATTTATTTTTAAAGAAATAACCCGAACAAACCATCAGTTCGAGAGGGGTGCAGAGCGAGACACGAGCACACAGAGCAGAGCAGTGAATAGTGCGGCACAATATATATATTTTTTAAATTGGGAGGTGCAAACAAAATTACTGTTGTTTTGTTCCTCTCATTCTTATTCATTCTCTTGAAAGTGATTTTTGTTTTTTCCTTTTAAACGTTGTGGCACAGTGTATGTGAGTGTCTGTGTATATGTATGCATGCGTAAGCAGCAATTAAACAAGAGGTGGAACGAGTACTACGCTACTAACAGAGCCATTAGTAGACGGCGTCGCACAATTAAATTGATTTTTCGCCGGTCACCTAACCTCAAAGCCCCTGCCGGTGAAAGGGGGGGTTCGGAGGCACAGCTGTTGCATACAACAAAACAACAAAACACACGCCACCGAATAACGTGGATAAGGGAGACGACGAAAACAGACACAACATGGATATCGATTCACTGAAAAATGAATGGGAGGAGCTGAACAAGGAGTATTCGGAGCTGGAGGTATGCTAAAAGAGAAGAGCCCAAGGTGTATGTTGTGTAGGGTGGCGGGGTCATTGCCACTCTTTCGAGCTGTGCACTACTGGGCACAAACACAATTTGCAAATATTGTAAGAGTGGTCTTTGGCATAATCTCCACCCCACCCTATTTTAACACACCTTTGAGGGGACTGTTTTTTGAGCAGCAGTACATATTTACAGACACACATATGTACATATGTATGTACATACCATACATTTCTGTTTTTACAGTATGCTTTTGCTTATTCTTAGGCTTACATATGTACATATTTGTGTGTAGATATGTATGGTGTTGTTGTATTGCCATGATGGCTTTCACCTTGACCAAACAGCTGCTTATAATTCACCACCTTTTCTCGCTCTCTCTCTCTCTCTCTCCCTCGCACCATCTATTTTGGCGACAGAACTGCAACAGACGCTACATCGAGCTGCTGGAGCAGCTGCACAGCCGCCAACAGATCTGCTTTAATGAGATCAAGCATCAACGGTATCGCATGAACCAAATAACGGCATCATTGAGGCAGTGAGTATAAGACCATACCCTTTGAATGGGCAGAGAGACGCGACCCTATGAAATTCGCTATTAATTTGATCATTATATCATTTCACCAATGTCCTTCTGGCATGTTTCTTCACTGTTGTTACCATGTTCAATTGGAATTTGACTTCAATCAATTTGAGCCCCGGTCTAATCAGTCGCGTAGCACACTGCTGTCGCACACACATTTCAGGCACTTCAGCCGCCGCTTATCAGAAGGAGGGGAGCCGCACAAGTCTTACGGCAATTAGCCAGCTATCAGCAAGTGGGTGGGCTCTTATCAGTCGGGGAGAAACGGGGGCTAAAACGGCAAAAACAGCCACAGTATGTTCATTGCTACACAACGACTTTTACAACTGATTTCGCAAGTGATAAAATTTCTGATAAAAACCAGCGCCCTAGACTTTGCTCTGGCCTTTCTCAGGTGGTACATGCGAGTGGTATGCCCACTGTATTGCCCCACCCCTCATAAAAACTAACTGTTTGCTGTCAAGGCGAAGGGGCATGTGGAGGAGAAACTTCGAGGTGTTTACTTGAACCGAAAACTGGCCAGCAAAGCAGCTGATTGACCGACCAACTGACCGACCGAACCAGCTGCCCTTGACCTCTGTCCAGCCAAGGCGAAATCACAGACACAGACATGGCCATACAGCAGCACAACACGCAACCCAAGCAAAAGCTAGCTGACGTGTGTGTGTGTGTGTGTGTGTGTGTGTGTGTATGGCACAGTGTGACAAAGCGGTTTGGTTGTGTAAATATCATGAATCAAATAAAATTATTCATTTTGATTAATGTATGAAAGTTAGTTGCACAATTCCAGAAATAAATAAAAAAAAAAATAGAAAAATTATTTGTACCAAAATATAAATGTGAGCAGATAGTAAATTTATAAATTACATATTTACAAAAATATAAATTATTATTTGAATCAATTTTGAAGAAAATGTTTACAAAAATGTTTGCCAAGTGTAAACTACAACTAACAAAATACCAAAAATATTGTTAAGGATTACGGACAAAGGATTCCATTAATAGCCCACCCAAATGTACTTAGGTAATCCCAGCTTGATTATAATTAGTTGTCATTATTTTGGCACATTAAAATGCCATTAAATTTGGTTAAAAGTCAAGGAAGGAGTGCGAGTTTATTGAACCGTAGCCAAAGTGTGGAATGATTTATTTGTGTGTTTCGACCTTCAATCGCATGCAAATTGTTTGCCGCTTCAATGCTCTTTTGATCCACTGTACACCCATCGCCGTCGCATTGTTATTGCTAGCGTTTGTTTTTTTATTTTTCTTTTTGTTTTCCGTCGCCCCTGTACGCGCGTTTTTATTTGTTTCGACTGTCTCGAAAACGCTCTGGCTCTGGCTCTGGCTGTGGCTCTGTCTGGCGCTTTAAAACGCTCTCACCTACTGAGACACTTTTCCTCTCTGGCGGTGTCTGTTTGTGTGCATGTACAAAAAGCATATAATCATTGTAGGATAATGATGAAACATCAGATTCTATTGGGGTGTACAATCGCCAGTCGCCTTTGTGGATTTATATAAATGGGCTTATCGCGCGTCTTGACTCTCGCGCTCATTTAATTGCCTTGTTTTGTTGATATTGCCAGTCGCGTGTTCCACGTCACGTTGCAAACGTTTTGACCTCCTGAACGCATTCCACTCGGCAACAAGTCACACACAAAATTATGCAAAAATCGGCTAGCAATAGCAAATAGTAGCTTAAATCAAAATCTCCTGCTGCCCCGAATCACCACAGGAGTCGTCGTTGTCGTCCGAAGAGTGCGCTTTGGTGCCACTGATATCTGATTTGTTTTCCATGTCTTTTTTTTTTTGCCATTTTCCTATTAGCAAATGAATTTTAATTGAGTCATGGAAAACGGGCGCCCCGCTTGCCACATTTGTTTACTACATTTACAGGGAAAAGCGTGCGAAGAGCTCGTCATCCAGCCATCCAGCCATCCATCCATCCACATTGTTTGTTTGTTTGTTTATTTGCTTTTGGCCGACGGCAAGAAGATATTTCCGAGTTAAAATGCATCCAAACATTAACATTAGCACCCCACCCACCAGCCATCCCTCTACTTGAACAGCACTCCAAGGGCTGTTTATTTTCTGTGTCTGAGATAGCTACACAAAGTCGCTGTGGAGGCACGCGCGTTTCGTGTGGTGTGCGATTTCAATCGGAGAAAATGTTAATAGTTACAAATTTTGTAGATTTTGAATCAGACATGAAATTATGTGGAGATACGAAATTTAAATAGAAATTAAATTTATATAGGGGCTTTTTAATAAATTTCTATATATGTATGTACATTTATATATGTATATATCGAGAACGATTCCATCTCATATTTTTAAAATGGTTTTCTCTGCATGGAAATTTTCCACATTCAGATTTGACATAATCTTTGAGAGAGTGAAAGAGATTGTCAAGTAATTCCATTAATAAAGTGGCGTTGGAGTAGTGAAAAAAAAGAAACAAAGAAAGAAAGAGTTGTCTCATAAGCAAATCGAGCGGAAACTAATATAATCAGGCCATTGAATCGGCACTTTTGTGGTTTGGTTTGGCTTGGCTTGGGTTGGGTTGGTCTGTGGCCATGGCTATGGGGTGGTCGGTCATACCATACCATACGTCGCCCATATCTCTATTGATTCGATTCGATTCGAGTTGTGTTTAGGCGTTATCTATGGGTGGCGGGGTATTAGAGGGTGTTTAAAAATAAAACATGAATTATACAAGCGATTGATAAATCGAATTGAAACCGAGCAGCCGAGAAGCCGAGAACCAGAACCAGAAACGGGACAAATTCAGTTGAGCGAGCGTCCGCTTCAATGCCATAAATTTACCTTTGAAGCGCCACATATGTACATATGTATATACAGCACTACAGTCATGGGTACACCGCACTGTTAATTGATCAGAAAAACACACACACACAGAGAGAGAGAGTGGGGGACCTGTACCCGCTTTGGCTATCAATTATGTATATCTAAATTGAACTTTGACGCTGAAAATTGCTCTGGTGCGATGGGTAGGTGGACAGACGAACCGGACCGGACCGTGCGAGTACGATTACGATTACGATTACGAGCCGCATGCTGCCTGCTGCCTGCTGCCCGCTGCCTGCTCTCTCCCTTCCCTTTTTCAGCACTATCAATGATGTGAACAAATAATTATAGTCGAATTATTTACAAGGAAAGCAAAACAGGCATACGAACAAACGGGGGAAAACAGTCGTGTATTGTACACACATGTACTCAATCAATAAAACAATAAACATAAATAAGTGCTGGCTGGCTACTCTTCCTGCTTCACCTCCTTCTCCACCACACAAATAACTCGTATTGGCCAAAGTCCAGAGTGCAGAGTGTGCGATGGTTTTATGTTAATTTATGGGGAGCTACCCACCCGACTACCAATATGCATTGTATTGCCAAAATTGTGCCCTGCGATTTATTATCTAAAATGGAACTAAATTATGGAAACTTAATGTCCAGCCCCTGGTCCGTTACTCTGGTACCAAAAGGCGCAGCCTTACTGACGTATTGTTGCGTTTCCAATTGTGATCCGTTTATGATCCAGCAGTTTATGATTGGCATTATGCAAGTACATACATATAGTTGAACGATTATCTGCACAAAGATAAGATATTGTAGCTGGCCCATTAAATGTTTGCAGAATTCTTTTCAATTATAAAACAATACTAAAATTTGTTTGTGAATTTTTGTATACATCTCTTGGTATATATTCTATATGTTATTTTGTATTGCAGATTTAAGGGTCCGGTGGATGTCGAAGTTAAAGAGAAGGTGGATGAGCTGCAGAAGATGACCTTGAAGCGGAAGGCGCAATTGCACGAAATCGAACAATCTTTGCCAGCGAAATCGGGTCGCTATTTGCAGGTGAGTGCAACACCCCAACACCCCACCACCCCGAACAACCCACGTACTCACACAATCATCGTCCAAATGGAAAACTTTCCATCAAAAGAAACTAACAAACAAATAAAAAAAAAAAAGTAAAGTAGCAACAAAATGGACGGGGAACGTTAGAGGGGGGAAAAGTTGCTTCCTGCGCGACAATTTGCGCGGCTTGTTATGAACTTGACTCGGACACGACTTTGCAGGCGACTCGGACTCGGACGCGGACTCGGACTGAAGAGTGGAGTTGAGTCAAAGTTAAAGTTAAAGTTAATGTTGAAGTTGAAGTTGAGGCCACAGACTGACCTCTCTCTCTCTCTCTCTCTCTGCCATCCACTTTACTTATTCCGCAGATAATCTTGGGCGATGTGAATGTCTCGATTCTCAACAGAAACGACAAAGTTCGCTATAAGGACGACTATGAAAAGTTTAAATTAATACTCAACGTAATTGGACTGATAATGGCGTTCTTCAATTTGATATTCAACTACAGGTAAGTGGGAATAAACTGAAGAAACGAACCAATGCAGCGGCAGTGCTTCCAATTTGCTCATCCATCTGTCCATCTGTCCATCTGCCGTGTATTTGCAGAGCCTTGGAGCTGGCCTTCATTTTCCTGCTGGTATGGTACTATTGCACCCTGACCATTCGCGAGTCGATACTGAAGGTGAATGGTTCCCGGATCAAGGGCTGGTGGCGGGCCCATCACTTCATCTCGACGGTGGCCGCCGGCGTGCTGCTGGTGTGGCCACAGGGCGAACATTGGCAGATCTTCCGCATGCAGTTTATGTACTTCAATGTTTACATCAGTGAGTGCGGATATCCATGCTTTGTAGATCTCCGAATCCAGCTCCATCCTCCATTGTGTCACAAATAACCCCCTCTGATCCGTTTACCCGTGCAGGCATTGTGCAATATCTACAATTTGGATACCAGAAGGGTCTGCTCTATCGCCTGAAGGCATTGGGCGAGCGCCACAACATGGATATCACCATTGAGGGCTTCCACTCGTGGATGTGGCGCGGTCTGAGCTTCCTGCTGCCGTTCCTCTTCTTCGGCTATTGGTTCCAGGCGTACAATGCGTGGACCCTCTACAAGCTGGCATTTACACCCCCCGATGCACCCTGGCATGTGTCGGTCATGGCCGGCCTCTTCTTGCTACTGTTCGTTGGCAACATGGCCACCACACTGTGGGTGGTGCCCGAGAAGATACGCGAGCGATCCAAGGAACGCTATCGGCTCCTGAGCATGGGCAAGTCCATGAAGTTGCGCAGAGAAGTCAAGGTAAATATGGCCAGATGATGCCTCAATATATTTAAGACATGGCATACATATGTATTCGTGTGGGTTAGCGTTCCCTTAGTTTTTATCCTCTCTATAATGCCCACTCCTCTCTTGGACTCTCCCGTTGCAGAATAGCGCCAGTGACATGGACCTGGCGAGCAGCGCCAACGGCAGCACAGTCACAGCACAGACGGCGACTGTGCCAAAAATCCCATCAGTGCCGCCGACGCAGCCACAGCCATCGGCACCAGCACCAGCATCGGCACCGGCATCGGCACCAGCCGCCGATAAGAAGGAAATTTAATCAACTTATTCGCTATTTCCCATCAAGCCAGGCATTTCAATATAAAATATCTATTTTCTATGATTATGATCTTATATTATTATCTATTTTTTTTTTTTCGTATTTATTAATTTTAAACACCCGCCCCCCCTTTCAAACTATCGGTTTAAGCTTTTGTTTATTTTTTTTTTGTTTCTCCACCTACTGCGCTCCTTTTGAATTAATTAATATTAAATATAAAAATTGTAAATTTGAAGAGAAAATACTACGAGTACATAAGCAAAACATTTACATACATTATTTACATACACATAAAATAATTACATAACATCCATGTAGAGAAAATGATAGATGATCTTTTTTCGCCTATTTGTAAGTTGATAGAATTTGATAAAAGAAAACGAAACGGAACTAAGAACTATTAAAATGAAATTCAAATGAACGAAAACTGTTTTATTTTTTTCTGGTTGGATACATACATATGTATATTATTTTTTTGGCACGAATCGAAGGACAAATAAATACAAATTAAAAATTCCAACAAATCATAGAGTTTTGTGGGGTGAAAGGTGAATAGATTTGGTTTCGTGCATCCATTGCATGGCAGCCACTAGTCAATGCATACAAATTAAAGTAAGTACTGGGTATAAGGTAATCATTCGTTTGACGCTCGAACGATTTTGAGCGGAAATTTAAAAAGCCCAAGATAACAGCTCCTTTTAAGTAGAATTTCTTCCGTCTGGCGAAAGTGAGTGAGTGATGGGGACTTGGGTAAGACAATGCTTAGATGACGTTTCAGCTTGTTTTACTGGCGGCCGTTAATGCGGTTCCCGGTCAGTTCCCCTCATTCCAGCAGCCACCATGCCACATCATCATACTCTCCTTTCCGACGACAGTGAGTGTCTGTGTGCAACAAAGGTTCCATCCTGCAATGCGGCAAAAAGCGGCGCGGTTTTTGCTGCTCCATTGCCATCGCCCGCGTCAACCGCAAAAGCCACAGAGCCCCCCTCCCCACCATCCATCCTTGCTCTTTCTTTCTCTGTGTGTGTGTGTTTCATGCAGGTCCTGGGTGCCGCTCTCCATACCATGCGCCGGATCCGGCTCTGGCCATTTGCTTGTCTGCTGCGCTGCCGCAGCCTAATTTGGCGAGAGTTCATTAATTGCGTAAACGGCGCGCGCTTTTAATTATGTCGAACGTCGACGTTCGTCGCCCAGTGGGCGGCCGGGCGGGCGGTCGGGCGGTAGGTGGGCGCTTTTCGGGTATTTTGTGCATTTGCGGCATTGTTTGCACACTCATGTACCCACCCACACACCCAGCGATCAGCCACCTCCCCACAACCATCCACAGACATTACCATTACCCGCTGTGGGACGGCCGCCAGCCACCCTGCCACACAGTCTGCCTGTTTTTCTGCGGCAAATGGCAACAACGGAATTTACGACTTTTGGTCAACGCAGCCGCAGAGACCATCAAAAAGGAGGCAGGCAGGCAGGCAGGCGAGCGTCCAAGCGTGTGGCCCGGCCCGGCCCGGCACTGTTGCGGGGTAAGTCTGTCATTGTGTGTGGTGTGTGTGTGTGTGTGTGTGTGTGTGTGTGTGTGGTGCAGAGGGGTACGATTATCATTTATTGCAACCGCATACGGCGGAGGAAAAGTGTCGGGAAATGCCATTGTAAAGGCGGGTAATTCGTTAATTTGATAAGCATACGCCACGTTGAACCCCGCCCCCGCTACCGCTACCACGCCACTCTTGGATGCAACAATATCAAACAAATGCGAAAAAAAAACACAGACTGAAAAGCCGAGAAAACCAAAAATGAAATTTATAAGCAGAAGGGTAGCTACCAAAGCGATGGGGAGTGGGGTAGGGACATATGGCCAGTGATTTTACGCAGTGGGTCGATTAAAAACTTTTAAATGTTTCAGTTTCAAATATATATAGGTTGGAAGATGATTTCTAGCTAGAAATTTTAATTTCTAATTTTTACATTTTTAATTTTGAGCCATTTAAGATATTTTTCATACCCTTAGAAAATCAATTCCGATTTACATTAAAAGATTTTATAGAAAACAAAAATGTAATATTCCATGGCTTTGGCTTTGTATATAGAATATAAATTACACAACGACATTTTTCCCCTTTAAAATAATGTGTAGAGTTGCTGCAATTTATGAACCAGTAGGCAGTAATTTTCGTTTCAGTTTAAAGGAGTACTTAGAGACACAAAAGTTGCCCTCTGATTGCTGACGTTCATCGACCCAGCTATGCCCAGAGCTTACTTACATATGTACTGGCCATGTGCACGAGTGGGGGGGCTTTACCTTTTGCCCTGCCCTTTTGCCTTTTGCCATACATATCATTTACGCGCTGTGGTCTTCTGGGGACTATGACTCTTCGGCCGAAACCAATTGGTGGCAGTGCCCCAGCCACAGGGCGTTGACAATTTTCGCCTTGTTTGTTTTTTTTTGTTTTTTATCGCTGTCATCGGCCAATAATTCAGAATTAATTTATGCTCGAAAAATCGCACTTAATCAGCATTTGATTTACGCCGCTATAAGTACAGCAGATGGAAAACAAAATATATACAATATACATATATACATATAATAGTCAGTCAGAGAGTCGTGGCAACGGCTATCCATTCGATTTGGCATGCTGTGGGTGGGTGGGTGGTTGTGTGTGTCGGTTACTCCCTATTTTTATTATGACTTATATTAGGTATGAATATAAATAGTATACTAAATAAATATGAAGCATATTAATGAGTATATTTAGAGCACAATAAAATATCTCACTGCTGCTATTTGGTACATATGGATGTATGGATGTATGTATGCATGGATGTGTGCATGTGTGTGTGTAGTTGAACGATTAAGAGGCATACGTAACGATCACATACAATTTGTAGTACATAATTGTGCGTAGATATGTGTGTCAGACAGTTCAGTTTATGTCCTTGAACTTAATAATGTGTATATGTACGTGCGTATGTATATGTTTGATGTCAGTGTTTGCTGTTGTTCTTGGTGCTGGTAACGATTAGTTAATTTGTGTTGAAGTTAGCCCTCGTTGTTGCCCCCCGGCAGGGCAAAGCGCACCGTACGATCGGTCGGCCCATGAAAGTGGATCAAGTGTGCATCGATGTTGGCCAGCAGCAGTGGATCGGCCCCATGCACGGCCACGCACAGCGGACAGATGACCTTTGTGCTGTCGGCCTTGTGGTTGGTCACTGCATGCTCGACCAGTTCGTCGGCCGAGTGGCCGTGTTCGCCGCATACGGGACAGGTGAAGCTGTCCGCATCGAGCGTCGGTATGGGCTCGCCGGCAAACAGCAGCTCCTTGGTCTGGATGTCCAGCAAGCACTGGAAGGGATGGCTCACTTGATGTTCCATGCCGGTCACCACCTTGTTGGTGTGGCACTCCTCGCACAAGTCGTAGTCCTCGCAGCGCAGACACTTGAAGCGGTACTTGGGCAGAATGCTGCTGCTGCAGCCATTGCAAAACACACTCCAGTAGTCGCTTGGCATCTTGCACAGTCACAGTTTCCTCAATTGCAATTTGTTCGCTGCGATCCAAAATCGAAATGTTGCTGAAATTTGAAATTTGAAATTTTCAATTTGGTTTTTTAGTTGAGCTAAACAATTTTTTTGGTTCTTACTTTTTATTCGGTCTGAACAGTTTGGAGTACGGGAGAAATGTGACGATACAACTCAGTCGACAGTTGGATATGAAATTTCATTTTAGTGACTGACTACTGGATGCTCAAAAAATCGGTTTTGGGTTATCGACACAACCTACTCACCTCCCGGATTGCTCATTCTCATTTTTGAGCTCTTGAAAATTCACAAAAAGTTTCAAAGAAATTCCAAAATATAACCTTAATAATTATAAATAATCATAATAATTATAGTTTGACATTTGAATATTAATTTACAAAATGTAAACACTATGAATGCATTTAATTGAAATATTAAAATTAAATGAAACAAAAAGAAAAACAAAATCCAATTAGAAAAAAGTGGAAATTAATTTTTAAATTAAATCTCGTGCACAATGACAATGAATTTAGGGCTCGAAAATTGTTGGCACACAGCCACCATACACAATGCACCGACTGGGCCGAGTCCAAAAAGACATCACAAAGGGAATTCAATTTTCCAAAAAAAACTTTTCAACCAATGGAAAAAAAAAAAACAGAAGTAGGAGAGAGCAAGAGCGAAGCAGGCCCTGAAAGAAATGGCAAATGAAATCGAGCAATCAAATGAGCATAATAAGTTAATCAAGAACTTGCCCATGTCCAGGATCAATGGGGTCAGTCGTGTTCCGGGGTCCTGCCTCTGGGCGTCTTCCGCTTTTCGCTGCCCTTTTTCCGCCGACAAATTGAAATGCCCAAAAGGAGCGCGTGGGGGCACAAGCAGGTTGACACACAAGCAAATAAATAAATGCACTCAACTATGTAATATGGCCAACAGCTAGGGACATGGTCAGACAATGTCTGGGTTGGAGTGACCGACCGACCGACCCCCGTCGACCCCTCAACCAGTCGCAGTCCCTATCCTTTTGGAGAATCAAATGTAGCGTGAAATCGTTAGTTTCGTTTTGGCCGGTTCCGAACCTGCAGCCACGTAATCAGTTGCTAGCGCCCTTGGAGACGGGGGCCTCTGATTTATAGCCGACACACGACACACAGCAGCCCACAATGCTGGCAACATTTCCGCGCGCCTTCAGTTTTGTGGAGGGAACACAGCATGGCACAGCATTGAAATCAGATCAAAGCCCGAGCCGGCAAGGATCACACATAAGTAGCTAACTCAGGCGATGCAACAAATTTAACGGCATCACAATTATCAGTATAAAAAAACTAATTTTAATATTTTGAAATCTTTAAAATAATTTGTTAAGTTTTGTTTTTGGTAATAATTCGTTAAATAAATGTTTTAAAAACGTACAAAAAACGTTTACAAAAAATGGCTTAAATTTTGGTTTTGGTTAAAATTTTGTTTGTTACAAATAAAAAAGGGAATGCGAACTAGCTTATATTTTGAGTGGGTTGCGTGTCATTCCCCCTCCGCCCATTCCTCGGTTACGATAACTTCATCTTTTATCGTCGTGCCGGCCACCGCCAGCGGCTCCGTGGAGACGGCCATCATTAAATTGCGGCTAACAAAGCGAATGCAGCTTAGCGGTGCCTCCAAATTGGCATACGAAGAGTAGAGCAGCTCCTTGGCGCTCAGCTTGGGCGATGACTCCGCATCAATGTCGGCATCGTCGGCAGCGTCGGCACCGTCGGAGCTGGATTGATTGACGAGAAGCTGAAAGTCCCAGAAGCTCAACGCAGTGGCGCCACCCACTGCCAGCGTATTGTTCTCCATGTCAACGGCAATCACATGAATGACGTCCGTGTGATATTCGAGGGTGTGGATCATCCGTCCGCTGACGGTGTCCCAGACAATTACGCGGGCATCGTGGGCGCCAGAGATCAGGTAACGGCCGCACTTTGAGTACGCCAGAGCGGTGATGTTCTCCCTGTGGCCGCGGAAGAGACGCACCTGGACGCCCCTGTGTATGTCCCACATTCGGACGGTGCAGTCGGCCGATCCAGTGGCCAGGTACTGCCTGTTGGCATGGAACTGGCACACCGCCATGTCTGCCAGATGGCCGGCGAGCTGCAGCAGGGGCTGCTTGGTGTTGTGACCCCAGACACGGGCCACGCCATCCTCCGAGGCGGTGGCAAAGACGAAGCCCCGTGGTGCGAACGTCACATAGTTGCACTGCTGGCTTGGATAGACGGACACACAGTTCCAGGAGATGACGCACCACAGCCGCATTGTGCGGTCCTGCGAGCAGCTGAGCAGAAAGCGATCGTAGGGGGCAAAGGCCACCGACAAGACTGGCCCCTTGTGTCCGTGGAGTGTGGCCTCCCGCTTGCGGCTGACAGACTCCAGCCTGATCTTGTCCACGTTCATGGTCACCAGGACATAGTGCCTGTTTGTGCCCAGCGCCACCATTGACAGGTCGTCCGATATGGTCGAACAGCGAATTATCGCAGCGGGGTCATCGGGTGCGAACATGAAGATCGTCGGCTGTTGGCTACGATCCAGTGGCCAGTAGGGCGGCAACACCACCGAACTGTGGACAATCGGCTCCGGCTGTGGCTGCCCCGGCAGCATCCAATCCTGGTGCGAGTCAACATCGTCGTAGCTGCGGATGGCAAAGTGGCTTAGCAGCTTCTTCTGCTGGCCCAGCGTCCAATCGGCCACGCAATTGATGTACAGATAGTAGGTCGGAAAGGCCATGGCGACCTCCACGGTGTCTGCGCTGGCGAGCAGCTCCAATGCCCTCTCTGGCAGCTCCTCGGGCCTGCGAATCCGCCTGAGCTTTGCGATGCGCCGCGTGTACGAGCCGTCCAGGTGCGTGGCTGCCCGCTCCAGGAAGGCCGTGGCCCGCTCCAGTTGGTCTGCCAAAATCATTTGCATGTACGCCATGGCCATCATGGGATACAGCAGCAGGAATATCTCGTATCTATGATAGCTGGGCGCAGCGACAACGATGCGCTGGGTGGCATGGAACGTCTGCTCATATTCCAGAAAAATCACATCCTCCTCAATGGCTGCAAAGTAAATGACCTCGCCAGATGGATGTATCACAATGGAGTTGCCCTCGTAGAAGTCTTTGCCTTCGTCGAACCATTCAATCGGTTGCGGGGGCAGCTTGAATGTTCGCAAAATGACGCTATTGCTGCTCGATTCTTCCAGTTCGTATGGCGCAGCTTCATCCAATGTAACTATGGCGTCATTTATATCATGGAGTACTTGTTGCAGCTCCAACGAAGTGCCAGAGCCAGGCTTGTCATGGCTAATCTGTAGCACGATTTAATTTGCCATTAGATGTGCGCACATACACGTGTGTAGGCAGCATAGAACTTACTTTTGGATCGGTCGCTCCATTAATTACACTCTCCTGCTTTGGTTGGTTGCCTTTGCGGGCCTTTTTCTTATTGTTTTGGCCTTTCTTTTTGTGATATTTCATTTTTCAGAAATCTTTTTCTAACACTTTCGGACCCAAAAAAATAAACACGAGGCATGAAACTGATTGGCAGCACTGAATGCAGGGCTGCTCTTATTCGTAATCGATATATGTAATTCATTCGGGGTATTCATTCGTTCAATCGATGTTTAAAAGTGTTGATTAAATAAATTCAATTGGATTTAATTAGATTAAATTGATTAAAATAATGCATTAAATATATATATGTATATATTAATTATATATATGCAGAACAGAGATGCTCAGTTTTATTCTAAATTAATTCGAAAAAAATTCCAATTCTAAAAATTAAATAAATTCAATTGGATTAAATTAGATTAAAATAATTCATTACATATGTATGTACAAACATATATCTATATATATATATATAAATTAATTATATGTGGGCAGAGAGCTGCTCAGTTTTATTCTAAATTAATGGAAAAAATTCTAGTTCTAAAAATAAAAAATAAATTCAATTGGATTCAATTAGATCAAATTGATTAAAATAATGCATTAAATATATATAGTGTATTTAAATTATATATATGTGGGTGGGTGGAGTGTGTATATAAATTATATATATGTGGAGTGGAGAGCTTCTCAGTTTTATTCTAAATTAATTTAAAAAAACAACAAAAATTAAATAAATTCAATAAAGTAGAAATTGATAAAATAATGCATTAAATATATATATGTATGTATAAATTAATATATGTGGAGGGGAACTTCTCAGTTTCATTCTAAATTAATTTTAAAAAAATTCTAATTCTAAAAATTAAATAAATTCAATTGGATTCAATTAGATTAAAATAATGAATTAAATATATATTTGTGTATATAAATTATATATATGCAGAGTAAAGAGCTGCTCAGTTATATTCTGAATTCTTTGAAACTTTATCTGCGCCCATTGAAACTGAGCTGAAGACGGAACAAGGGGCAAGTAGACACTGCCATTTTCGCCACGCACTGCACTGGAAGAGGCTGGGTGGCTCCTGCCACGAATCGCACTCACATGGCGAAATCACAGTGTTGCATTCCAATCCCAATTACAATCACGGTTTCCGTCTGCAATCACTGCGTTTTCCCTATCACAGTTCAGCCATCGTCTGGCCCGACTGACCCATGACCCCGCCGCCGACGACGACACGGTCATGCCAAATATCCTGCCCAACTTCCGGATGTGCCTCCCCTTATTCTGCTCCTCCTCCGACACTTGCTACACTCCTTTCTTCCTGCATGCCATCCTGCTCGGGCATTTGGTTTGAATTATGTGCCGCATTAGTAGAGCCATTGGCAATGACTGCGGCGCTGCTGCTTCTTGCAGTAGCAGATGAAATTGGAGCTGAGCAGAAAGCGTAGTGGCAGTGGGAGCGGCAGTGCGGGAGCTGCCCAAGCGGAGGCGCTACGCTACGCCACGCACTCGCAAAACTTTAACACAAATTGAATTATGCAGTCGCCCACAGACGTAGCAACGGAGACACAAAGGACGTGTGGCGTGGCGTTGGCGTTTGGCGTGGCCTTTTTGGCGATGGAGAGAGTAGGAGTAAGAGTTGGAGAGGGCTGGAGAGTTGGGAGCCATTAGACGGTTGGCGATGCGCGCTAAGGTCTGTGGTCGGTGTGTGTGTGGGGTGTGGGCGGTGTTGACCTGCAGGCTCCCTCCAGCTGACTTTGGCAAATGTAACTGTAATTTATTGAAATTTGTTAGCACCGCGCCACGAGCGCAGACACAAAACCCCGCCGTAAAAGACCGCAGTGCTCGTGGCCGTGGAGCAATCCGAAATTCCCCATCGCATTCTCTGCCGAAAAAAGTTTTGGTCACGTTTTTTGTCACGCTTTTGATGCCCCGCAAAATGGACAACCAAAAAATTCGCCCGCGGTCAAGAGTCAGACGGGCGCGCGTCTATTTTTGTACTTTTTGGTAGCTCTCTCTACATTATTTCCATTTTTTTTGTTTGCCTCTTTTTGGGTATTGATGCTGCTGGTGCCAACACACGCACCGCTGCCGGACTCACTCACTGACAGCCCTCTGGCGCTTGTCGACAGTTCAGTTGTCCAGGACTATACCCTGTAGGGAGAGTGAGACATACGTACTAGCGTGAGAGCGACAACCATTCCAGCATCTCGAAAATACTCTCCAGTGTGCGGTTATGCGGTGAACCACTCTCAGTGCTTTGTGGTCGCAACGGCACAGGTGGGCTTATTGGGTGTCTGCTCTGTCCTGCTGTCTCAAGTGTGACAAGTAAATATGTGTGATTGGCGGAAGCATTTCGTTTATCTATAGTTATTTATCTAATAAAAGGAAGAGAGTGTCAGCATTGAGTAGGAGTGTGGATCATGTGGATAAAAATGCTTATGTGGATCGCAAGCGAGAGCTAACAGTCCGCTGTTAGCAAGAGCCGCAGCCGTCTGTTATCGCTGGATTGCTAACAGCGCTGCTGCCCCTGAACACAAGCTCTATGTTACATATTTATAATTTAGTTTACATTAAATAGAACTAATTGAAATAACGGCAGCAATTATATGAATTCAGAATTTTATTTAGAATTTAATACGAGTAGTTATATAAACTTTAAAAATTCTATTCTTCTTATGGACAATCCCTAGTACAAACATTAATAATAATCCAGACATAATAAGACATACATTTTTTAAGCACTGTTAATTTACTTATTCCCCTTTATGTCATAATAATAGATGCTCCCTGAAAGATCATCAATGCAGTCGGTCATCTCTGAACGCTGTGCCCTTCACTTTTAATTGCTGACAGGCCATGGTCATGACCAACACCAACACCCACACCCACACCAACACCAGTGCCAGCAGCAGGAACAGCAACAGCAACAGCAACAGGAACAGGACCATCCATGCCTTTGTTGCCGCAGGTCTAATTTTTTTTGTTTTTTGTTTTTTGTTACCGCCAAAAAGTTTGCCAGCTGCAACGTTTCGCGGTTGCATGCTAAAAAGTTTTAAGTGCCCCGCTCGACCAGGCACCACCAGTGCCACCAGCACCAGTGCCACCAGGAGGTCTCCAACGATCGACCACCTTTACCAGCCTCAACCGAACCGAACTGAACCGAACTTTGGTTCACTCCGCCACTCTGCCCCTCTGCGTTGCGGACCTGTTGGGATCCCATACGCTTCAGTTTTTCTATTAAGCAGGCCCAGGCTCGTCTCATTTGTAGCCTATTTGTCCTCTGGCCCCACTGCTGCTCCTGCCTCATCTCTTTCATTCTCAATTGCCCATCTATCTCTCTGTCTCTCTCTCTCTCTCTCACTTTCTCATTCTCCGTCGCCGTCTCTCTTTATCGCCCTGCTCCTCCCCCCATTCCCGTTTTCTCTCCTCACGACATCGTAAAAATGCCAATGAGCCGACCTGAGCGAATGGCGTTAAAAACTTTTCTCATTTATCAGACGACGGGGAGACCTCCCCCAGTCCCCAAAGCGCCTCCTCCTCCCACTCCGCCACTTTTGCAGTGACTCCTCCTCCGCCTGCACGACGGGCGCACATATCCCCTCCTCGACTGGCGTCGGGTAAATTGATTGTCGCCGCCAACGAAGTTCGACGGTTGTTGGTCAACTCAGCTCACCCGACCTCACCCCACACCCTCACTTACCTCTTTTTGCCCCATTCCCAGCACACCTGGCCACGCCCGAAGGCGCCTTAAAGTTTTCGCACGCCCTGTGTTTAATTGCTGTAGTTTTTCTACCCACCCCCCACCCACCGCTCCATCGCACTCGTTTCCTGGTGCTCAGATTTTTTAAAACGACAACAATGGCCAGCAAGTGGCAAAAGTTTTTGGGTCAGCAAGGGGTTACGGGTCAAAGTGCCACCGATTCGGTGGCAAGTGGCAGCAGCAGCAGCATGAAGAAGGGAGAAGGGACCAGCCAGGGTTCAACTGCAGTTGAAGTTGAAGCCGGTTAATGGCCAGGCAAATGAGCCAACTGGACAGGCGGCTAATGAGCAGCGGCCCAACACGGGATGCAAACAGCTAATTTATACCCGTCGAAAATCATTTAAAAAAAAAGGAGCAGCACATAATACACCAAAAAAAAAAACAAACTACAGAAAGAAAATTTGCATTATTAGAGACATGGATACACTAGCTAGGGGGGGATTGCGGGGCAGTGAGAGATCAGAGAGAGATCCAAAACTACTCAAAATCCATGAAGAACTCTGCGGGTTGTGCGGGACATCTGCAAAATCAAAACAATTCCCTACACAATTCATTATTTATAAGCGAGTTTAAGTGTTTAAGTTTAAGTGTTTTGGAAAGTGTTTTTGTTTTGTCACCTTTCAAAAATCTGTCCACTTGTCCCATTGCTCCACCCTTGCTGTTCTCTTTCCTGTAGCTGTTCTGTTGCTCTGCCATCACCCTAATCAAATTGTGTTCCACTTTTGGCAATTTGCGGCTGCCGACCGTTTAAAGTCAGCGATGCGATGCGTTGCGTTGCGATGCGTTGATTCTGCCAAAAGATTCCTGCGACTCAGCCAGCTGTCAGCAGGTGACTGGAGACCCACTGGAGAGGTGAAGTCGAGGACGTGCTGTGGAGCACACTCGTGTCGCTGCTGCACAGAAGTCGAGTGTTGATAGGAGTGCGGTGGGGCCTGGCACACACTACGCTGACTGGCGGAAAACAGTTTATTGCAGTTACACAAATTCTAGAAATAAAATTTAAAAAATAAAACAAGGACAACTGTTTTCATTTGTTGCATTTGCCCTCGGCTATTACTATTTTTTGTATTTTATACGATCTTAAATTACAATCAATGGATATAGCCGGACCTTCAGCAAGGCCTTTAGGCTTTTCTGCAATATATATGTACACATATTTTGTGCATGCTTTGGCTTTATTTTTTGATATGCTACTGCGTCTGTTTGTGGCAGCAAAGCGAAATTGCGATTTAAAATAATTGAATTCCGTTTTTGTGTGCAGGTTTTACTCGTACTCTTTTTCTCTCTCTCTATCTTTCTTCCATATTATGTCTCTGATATTTTTTGTTGGTG